GGGGGGGGTTATAGCGTAGCCTTACAACATGAAAACACAAAAAGGCGTTTACAAACCATGATCGAGTAATAAAAATAAAATATTTAAAGACGTTTTCCAGCAAAATATAATGGGTGAAAAATAAGGTTTCTGCTATGAATGTTACAAAACTAATTCAACTAAACAGTTTTACACTCACCTGTTTAAATCAGAATCCAGAGCTAGAGCGGATAGGAACGGCTAGCACTTGCATGCATCCTGAGACTCGAGTGTAAGAGCAAATTGTATGATTAGGCTACGTCAATTCAAGTGCTGGACCAGGCCATCTGGGTCTGATCTAGATTCTAGGCCTAGACTCTAGCCTAGTTTCGTTTCACATTGCATCCTACTCAACCCACTGACACCCTTGTATAGAAGCAAGCCAATGCCTAACTCAAAGAAGCGGAAAAGGAAAACAAAGGAAAAAAAGAAAAGAACGAGATTGCATGTCCACGGTCCGCCAAGTTGCGCAGTCGGAGGCAGTCGCACTTTTCTTTGGAAGAAAAAAAAATGGTGAGTAAGAAATGAAGCTATCACTAGATTCTCTCAGCTGTTCTGGACCATCAGAAGCCTCACAGGAAAGAAAAGAGGGGAACGTGGAATTGAGCAATCTATCGGCACCTCACATGACTAGTTGCACGCACGCCCAGGGGGCGAGTCTACTTTCGTTTGTATCATCCAGTTGCTCAAGTGAAGTTGTTTATTTTTCTCCATTGCACCGGCTTTTACCCGGAAGGAAACGCTTGGCTAAACAAGTGAGAGGAAAACCAAAATAAAGGTAAATTGGGTCACTTGCCAGGAACTACAGCAAGCCGGAAAGAAATGCCAAAAAGTGAGACTAAAAAATCGATCTATAATAAAAAACAAGAAAAAAAGAACAAAAGGATAAATGCTATTTTTCTACAAATCATATCAATAGCTGTTCATTCTTAAATGTATATTCTATAAGATTTATTTCTTTTCTTAAAAACAAATTAACAAAATGTGGCAAATCTTTACCGGGTAAACGACAATGCTTTTTCAGTGGCAATAGCAATAAAAGTAGAAAAGTGTTACACATCGAAGGTCAATGCCGTTTTGCTAAGACTCAAGGTCAATGTCAAGGTAAACGAGGAAAAGGTGTGTAAAACGCGCGCATTCCAAAGTCGGAAAATCAGAAATTCTTTTCGTCGCCGGCGCTGCGTCTGCCAGAGTATCGGTTTTTCAAATTTCCATATCTACATAAACGTACAAAACCCACAAACACTACGCTTGTGAGGCTCAATTTAATACGCTCCCATAAAATGTCAGTTATATTACACACGCGCGCAGCGTTACGAGCACGCACGACTTAACACAGATCGAGACCTTTTACTATAATATGATTTTGCATGATAGAATTTTAACAGTCTACATAAGAATATAATTAAATATCTCTCCATTCTCTTTATATTGGCCTACAAGCGCCGGCACACTTGTACATGCAGCGCACGCACGCACACACACGCACACACGCGCACACACGCACACGCGCGCACACACACACACACGTACGCTCTAACAGCGACCATGAGGCCTATAGGACATGTACCTACAACAGACTACAACTGTAGATTCTAGTACCTCTACAACCGGACATCCCCCCCCCCCCCCCTTGCATTTGTTGTAAACATCAATCAGAATGGCATACAGTGTAAGACGGCACCTTTCTAAGCAGCTATACTTATACTTATCTCCTCGACAACTGCAGTGTAGGCTGTGGGGCTCTCGTGGCCTAGAGGTTAAGGTGTTGGCCTCTCATTCAAAGGTCCCGGGTTCGATTCCGGGTAGCGACCAAAAAATTTTCTTCTCTAAAATTGTCTCCTTTCCCATCCTTTCCTGATCTCTAACAATGTTCTGTTGTCTGCTTTCATTTCCACTTTCTGCCCCCACCCCCTCACCTCCTTTGCCCCCTCCTCTGGGCTCCTGGCTCTTTCTGCAGCCTTTCTACTGCTACTCCTTGGCTCCTCCTAACTGCTGTCTTTCTGCCACACCCCTGATCTTCTGGTAGGAAAGATCTACACCTAGCCTTCTCGGACAAGGGCGAAAAATCTCGGAGGGCCCGTGTGCAAGTTGCGCACGTTAAAGATCCCTTGGTGGTCTAAAATCGACAAGAGTAGGCTTCGGCCGCCACCCGGGCAAAATTCCAAATTTCCTACCAACTGAAAAATATTAGGTGTGTCCCGCGCGCTCATATGACCTATGCAGTTGCGAGCGCCGTAAAACCCTATACTAAACAAACAAGTGTAGGCTGTCTTGGGCGCTTTTGTCTATAATAATATTTATAAGGCCTATATTTTAAAAGTATGATATGCATAGACCTTTTATGTGTATGGGGCCTATAATTTATATAGGCTGTTGTATAAGTTGTAAAGCTTTGTATAGTAATATTAGTAGGCATAGGCTAATATGAACAATACTTTATTAGCCTATTAATTCTTCCTCGAGTACAGTCTGGGACAGACATCTGCGATAATATTATCATAATTTTTCTATCATTTGCTCGGATGCTAAAAAAAAAGGCCTAAGAGCTAAATGTTATGAGCGGACCACCGTAAGTGGGCCTATAATATAATTCTTCAAGTAGGTTACTGTCTCATAATTTGATTTCTTTTTTTTAAAATAAGAAATTCTCAGAAATCTCCCATGAAACATATGTGTCACGACGTGATCGAATCAGGCGCTTGTCAATTTTTGGGCATGTCGAGTTATTGATGTCCTCTGAAGCTGATTTATTTGCCTTGCTTTCAATGAAGAAGTCGAGATACTTTGCGATTGATGAGAAAGAGTTTGGTAACTTCGATAGTCCTTAAAAACTGAAAATTACATGTACTGTGCCTTTTAACAAGGATTTTCAGTAAGATTCACATAGAAACGTCTTTTCATAGGAACATAAAAGGCGTTTAGCCACCACCCCCCCCCCCAAAAAAAAATGTCAATAAAAATTGCCAAACAGGTGAGAAAATGCCCTTTTCTTCCATTTCATTATTTTGACGAGCGCCTGATTTCACCACGACGCCTCACATAATCTATTTCTGTTGCTTCGATTTTATTTTCAGTGTCTGTGGTGATTGTACAGCCGGTAGAGAAGGGTTGACAATACACATAGCCTTTTTCTTTTCTTTTATTTCTTTCTTTTTTTTTTTGTAAGTGTTTTACGCGCTCACAATTTTCAATCGGTAGGAAATTTTGAATTTTGACCGGGTGGCGGCCGAAGCCTAATCGATTTTGGACCACAACGGATCTTCTTTAACGTGCACAACTTGCACATGGGACCTCCGAGATTTTTCGCCCTTGTCTAAGAAGGCTAAGTAGATCTTTCCCACTGAGAGGTCAGGGTGTGGCCAATTAAGGACCTTACAACAAACCGTAACCTCCTTGGGTGTGGCTGAAAGACAGCAGAAAGAATTAGGATTAGGAGCCATGAGTAGCAGTAGAAAGTCCGCAGAAAGAGTTATGGAGCCCAGAAGCGGGGGCAAAGGAGGTGAAGGAGGGGGCAAATAGAACGGACGATAATACATTGCTAGAGAGCAGGAAAGAAGACAATTACATATATAGAGAAGAAAAAATTCCGTTGCTATCCGTATTATCGAACCAGGGACCTATTGAACGAGAGGCGACGAACACCTTAACCTCTGGCCCACGAGAGCCCCCAATCACCCCTTGTCTGACAGGCAGCACAAAGTCTGCTTCGACTGTCAAGGCACCCCGGAAATAGAAGTTTATAAGAGAGTGACAAACATACAAAAGAAGTAGTTGAAAAATGACGATAGCAATTAGGATGAGGAAAGAAATTAAAGCAGCAGTTTCCCTTATCGGCACAGTATGAACATGACATTCGATAAGTCAGCCCATTTACAATTCTACTCTGCTGACGAACATGTTAATATATTTCCCCCCCCCCCCCCCCCTTTGGGATTGGCATAAAGACACTTCAGACAGTGGCACTGTCCGGGGGGTGGGGGGGTGGGGGGTGGAGACAAAACAAAAAGACAATAGAATGATGTTAGAGGGAAGAAGGAGAAAACTACCCCCAGAGCACTTGCAAATCACCCGCGTGTACATTACTGTCTTACGCAGCTGAGAGAAAGAAATCTCAAAGAACAGTAAGAATGTGAGTCTGTACTGTACTGTAATGATTAGGCTCTTCATCTTGCCCACAAAAGAAGTCCCAGTGGGGATAAGTGTTCAGTTTATTGAGCATTTTCAGCCTTCTTCTTCTACAGGGATGCTGCCCCTTCAGCCTGGGTTGGCCCTGACATAATGCAGGATTGCAGCAGCCAACATAACTGTGTTGATGGGGGTGTAAAACGGTTATAACCTCGAAACCGCAGCCAAGCAAGAGACTGCTTAAGCTAACTCTGCACCCTGGTGAATACTACATGAGAGCAGTGGCCTACTCTAAGTATTCTAAAATGTGAAGAATACAACCCTGGGGGTTCAAAATGACCCCAGGGCGTACGGATAGGGTTAAAGAAAAACAAGCAAAACCGAAAGAGTAGCCTACTGAAAAAAAAAAAATGAAAATAACATTGTTCAAGTGTTGCACTCAGTGTCATACTTTTATTCAATGGGAATCTGGTAAAAACAATTGAAATTATGAGCAAATATTGTTATGTTCCTACGGGTGTGGAAATATTAAACAATCTCATCTGTAAATACAATACATGTACATGTAATATGAGTTTTATAAAAGTAAAGTTTCTGGATCGATAACACCAACATAAAAATAAAGTATACCATTGTCTATAGTGTAACGGTTAGGCACTTCGCCTTTGGGGAAAAAATTTGTATCCAGTATCTCAGTCTTTCTGCTGCGATGTTGTATCCTGCTCAGCCCCGGTTGGCCCTGACTGGCAGAGTAGGAAGCCCGCTTCCTAAATGATCTGAAAATGTGTCGGTGAAGGCATTAAAAAAACACTTACATTCTAAAAAAAAAGTAGAGTATCACACTAAAAGAACTATCATAATTTGATCCAGCTACTTTTGTATAAACTATATATAAGCATATCTTAATATATTAAATTGTCTGGTCACTTAATTAGTACCTGACTTTTTAACATCTTTGAAAATGTGACTTTTGAAATGGTTGAAACGAGGACAAACTGGGATCAATTTGGAACACTGTAAAGACAAAAAAGGTAGGCTATATATCTGAACCTGAATAAAAAATGACATAAGGTTCACATTAGAATAGAGTCTACATCAAAATGGTATAGGTCTACAAATTGTAATAAGACTTCAATATTGCTACCATTACAGCAAGAAAACCTTTGTTACAATACAGTTATCTTTGAAATGGAAACTACAATACAAAGAACAATCTGTTGATATGGCACTTTTTAATAATAGCCCAACAGTGATGAAATAACGCCTTGAAACCAGATGCAAACTTTTCAAAGTAAAAAAATTAACAACTCTCCATACCATGACCACATTTGCAGCTTTCAAAGAAAACACAGGTTGTGTCCACACACATTTGTACGTATACACACAAATGAGAAAACCCCTCTATAATAAATATAGGTAAACATAGTTTCATCAAGAATAGATATCTACAAGTACAGACTTTCAGGAGAGATTCGAGGAAGAGCGGTTTCTTTCTAAACACCTCCTATACTTTAGAACCTGGTCCAATGGTAATAAAATATATATGCTTCATCTGTAGGCACAAATACATTTTATTTCAGTGAAAATTATTTTAAAGAGTGATTTAAATAAGGATGAATTCCTCTGCATAAGAGTATCTTTGAGTACTTTTTCTAATGCCATTAACGAGTCCATAAATTTGTTACTTCTCTACTTTATACAAAAACTGCCAACAGGAAGCATGGTAAATGTAATACCTGGTAATGCTACCAATTACAATGTACATGCTTAAAAATGTATATCTAATGAAAAGTAACAAAGGCACCAGAAGAACTGAATAAGGTATTACACCCACTACCCTGCCTTGACGTTGGAGAACCTGTACTGTAGATAAACATGAATAGATCCATACATTGCATTAGCATGTTGTACAGGAAGAGAAATTTAGCAAAACAAACAAACACACACACACACATACACACACACACACACATACACACACACATAAACACACAGAGTTTTGTAGAGGAGGAGAGGGCAGATAAGGAGAAAAGCCGGGAACTAAATGGTGAAAGACTGTCAATGACACGGCTGAAGAAGATTTGTTCACTCCATAAACTCAAGTAAGAAGAGTAGTAAGGAGCCCCAAGGTGTCATCACAATAATCACAAGACCTTTGTTGTAGTCAAAAGCATTTTGTCATTGGTCAGGAAGACACAACATCATTAGCATGAGACTTCATGTGCGATCTGAGAGCATTGACATGCTTGCATGTGAAGGCACAGAGACTACAGCTAACAGGCTTCTCTTCCCAGTGACTCAACAGGTGCATCTTGAGAGATGCTGCTCGCTTGGCTCTATAGTCGCACTGCCCACAGGCAAACGGTCTTTCGCTGGAATGCCGCATCATGTGATCTCGCAAAGTGCTCCGCTGACGACATCTGAAGTCACAACGGCTACATTTGAAGGGCTTCTCTCCACTGTGTTTCATCATATGAACCTTGAGGCTTGCTGCCTGGATGCACGTGTAGTTACATAATGTGCATGACAAGGGTTTTTTACTCTCATGAGTGATCAAGTGTCTGTTTAGCTCTCTTTCTTCTCTACAAGTATAGTCACATAAATGACATAAGAAATATTTCTCTCTATGACGCTTCATGTGTGTCAGTAAATTTCTTTTACGAAGAGTTGAATACTGGCATTTAGAACATGAAAATGTTCTACTTTTCCTGTTATCTTTGGATTCAGACATTCTTTGCTTCAATACATTATCACAACTGTCTGTTGCTGAACTCTTGTCAGAGAAAATGGGATTTAACGACCTATCTGGGGTAACATTTATACCTCTCACTTCATTAGTAATTGACTTAGAATTTTCATTCTCATGTTTACGTAAGATATGATACTTGAGATATCTGTGCTTACTGGAAACATATGGACATAATGGACAGGACAACAGCGCTTGTACAGTCTTGCACATTTCAGAACTTGTCTTTTTTGCTCCTACAACTACTTTGTGTTCTTTACGTTTGTGATACTTTAAGGTTAAAGGCTTGCTGCATGAGAAGTTACACAGATTGCAAGAGAATGGCTTCTCACCTGTGTGGCCATATGTGTGAATCTTTAACTCATGAGGTCGTAGGCATGTAAATGGGCACACAGCACAACAAAAGTATTTATTACTGTTTGGATTTTTGTTCCGCACAAAGAGCAAGTTCCCTGTCCTACCTTCATTTGATAGTAATTCATCTTTATTCATATTTGACTGTAGAATATCATCCTGTGAAGTCACAGTTTGACTCGAGCTTACAGAAATGTTGGAACTATGCAGAAGCTGATGATTAAGTAATACTTCAACATGGTTACAGACAAACTGGCACATGGAACAATGAAGTTGATTTTGAACATTATGAACCTTTTGATGCCTTTTTAGAAGGGAAAGTACAGATGTAAAATATGGACATTGCTGGCACTTGTACTTCTCACTGTGTTTATGGACCAAAGACACATGCTTGTTCAAACTTGAAGAGTTGTTGTACGAACATGGACAGAACTTGCACAAAAACCATTTCTTTTTATTGTGACTCTGTTTGTGCATCTTCATGTTTTCCAGAGAGCTGCTCTGGTAATGACATTTAGAACAAGACAGACTTCTTTCAGCAGAGTGAAGACGCATGTGACTTTTGAGAGCTGAGGAACGCTTGAAGGAGGAAGAACAAACCTGACAAGAAAATTTCCTGGAGGATAAATGCTTCACTTGGTGAGCCCTGTAGTTGTTCCAGGAGGGACTGCTATAACTGCAATGCGGGCACGAAAATGCATTCTCCACAAGATGAACAACCTTCATGTGTTCTTTGAAACTTACTGCATACTCACATGAGAACTGACATAGTTTACAAGAAAGAAGCTGAGATTTTTCGTGCACTTTCAATTTATGCGACTTCAAATCTGACTCATAATTACAGCCAAAGTCACAAAGGTTGCATGAAAACAAAGTGACATCTGTGTGCTTTTTGTTCACATGCTTTCTTAAAGCTGGGGCACGTTTGCACTTGTAATCACACAAGTTGCAAAAGTGGACCAAACTGTTATCATGAGTTATCATGTGAACCTTTAAGTCTTCCTCCCTCTTTGCTGAATATGGACACAAGCTGCATGCAAAAGCCTTCTCAACTTGGTGCTCTGAGAGCATGTGTCTTTTGAACACACTGGGCCTGTTGCATGAAAATCTACAACGCGCACAAACATAAGAATAGGTAGCTGTACATATGGCAGGCTCATCTACACTCACTGCAGAATCTATAACACTACAGGAGTTGTCTGTGGGTACAACCAGCACATCCGTCTCTTCAGGCTCATGGGGCTCAGAGTGAACTTCACAAGTTTGGCACTGACTCAACCTGGAATGGTCCTGAAATTCTGTGAAGTCTTCAAATTCCATCTTGCACCGTTCACATGTATAGCCAGATGATATCATCGGAACATGGGTGACATCCTGTGACAGCTTAGCAGTACTACTGCTTTTAGAGTTGCTTGACGCATTTGTAATTGTCTGTTTCAGTTGAACATCATTTCCTGCAGATCTGCTATAACATCTTGGGAAGGTGCTGACTAGCTGTAAACTACAGCTCACATGTGGGAGGCCAGCAGTGGGCAAACTATGTTGAGACGAAATTGAAGTAAACCTGTCTGTCGGTACAAAAGGCAGTTTAGAGCTGTTAAACTGTTCTTGAAAGACAGAACTCAACAACCCATCTGTTTGTCTCACCTCAGCTTGAGAAGTTAGATCACTGACTTCTCCTACTGGCTGTTGAACTGTTCCATCCTGCAAAACATGATATGAAACATAAACATTTTCTTCATGATGACTCAATGTTCTAGTACGAGTATGAGTCTCAACTGTTTTTGAAATAGTCTTAACAGGTGAACATATCAATGGTTGTGATTCACTATTGTGCTCAAGTGCTCGTTTCCTGTAGTTGAGAGTAGAAAAAGAATCCGTTTTAGAACCCCTTCCAGTCAAACTGAATTCATCTTTGTGAAATGCATCAATCGTTTGAGTCTGACTCACTTTGCTCAAACTGGTGGGAAATTTAGTGTCCAAACTTTCTCTTGAAGGTTCGACATCGGAAATTTCCTCACATTCATTCGGAGTATGTGAGATGTGGATACAAGAGTATTCAGCAGTTGAGACTTGACCAAAGCCCTGGGATGAACTCACTAAGGGTGCAGGCTCTGAAAACTGAATTTGTGCAACTGATGTCTCACATCTCTGGTTGTGTGGAATAACTGTCTCATTTTCCAAAGTAGCCAAAGACTGGGATGAGACAGTGTCTTGAAGGGCAGCACTCATTTGTGTGCCTCCCAAGTCTGAACTTTCTTTCAAAGTATTATCCACATGGCTGGTGATGCGGACAACATTTTCTTTAACTTGAGACTCAATCAAGTGCTTCTCGTGCACCTGTGCAGAATGGATAGCGAATTCCGAGTTACATTTGCTGAAGAAATCACAGTCTTCACAAAAATACAGCTTTTCTTTAATATGTCTCACCATATGAATTTTGTAGTTATTTTTTCTAACACTGCTGTAGTCACAGAATGGGCATTTGAAAGGTTTCTCTCGCCAGTGTTTACGTTTGTGAGAGTCCAGGTTCCTTTGAGAAAATGTAGTGTAACTGCATTCCTCACAGGGATAAACAATACCGCTATGAATAGGCATGTGATTTCTAAGAGAAGCAAAATGTCTGCTCTCAAAATCACACTTTGTACATCTATACATTTTCGTATTTGCTTCTTCTATTAAACCATTCGAATGCTTCTTTCTCATGTGTTGGTTCAAAAGAGTTTTTCTCTTGCTCTTAAATTTACACAAGGAGCACAAATATTTGTGTGGTTTGTGTGTTTCCATATGAATCTTCAGTAAATTTGATTGCCTACTACTGTATAAACATACTGGGCATTTGAAAGGTTCACTCACAGAATGACAGAATCTCATATGCTTTGAATAATCTTGAACACGCTCACATGAAAAACTGCACAATTTGCATGAGTATGTGGCAAAACCAACAAGGTTGATTTTATGCTGTCTTTTCAAATGCATTTTCAGATTCAAGCGACGGTTACTTGAATAATCACATATTGTACAAGTAAAAGGCTTGTCAACAGCATGAGTTTTCATATGCTCAATATAACTTTTTTGAACAATGCTAGTATAGTCACACAACTGGCATTTATAATTCTGACGAACAGTAGTAAAATGTGACAACATGTGAACTTGGTATTCTTTTTTAGAAAGAAGTAACAAATTACAGGCTTTGCACATGAAATCCTGGAAATCTTGCCAACATTTGTGAGAATTCTTTTGATGATTTTCCAGATCAGCTTGCCGAACTGTTGTATAGCTGCATTCTTTACAAGAATATATGGCATCAATATGTTTAGCTGTGTGTCTTGTCAGTGCACGAGGGTCACTTGTCTGAAAAGAGCATATCTGACAAGAAATAGGTTTGCGAACAGTATGAATACCCATATGTCCACGCAAAGCTCCAGCAGACATGAACGTAAGTCCACAAGTGGCACACAGGTGACTTTTCTCTCCTGAGTGAGTCAGCATGTGGCGATTCAGATATTGCTGCCCATGACATTCGTACGAACAGAGAGAGCACCTGAACTGCTTTTTGTTTAAGTGCACAAGCTCATGTGATTTTAGTAAAGTTTTGCGTTTAAAACTTCTCCAGCAAAATTCGCATTTGAACACGTTTTTCTCATTACTCTTACATCTATGTACTTTAAATGAAGCCGAAGAAGAAATGCAAGCCCCACAACGAGAACACAGAAATACTTTTTTTCTTTTGTTGACGATTCTAACTGTCTCGTCACTGGTATTCTTCTGATGGATGGTATTATAATGACTCAGAAACACTGTATCTGAACAATCTTCCAGATGAATGTTGTGAACACTGTTTAAGTGACTATCATAATCCGATAAACTGTACAGTGATAATTGACAAAGTCTGCAGAAAAAGGAATGATTCTGCTTTACAACTTCTTGCAACATGTTTGTAGAAAATTCACAAACAGTGCAAACACATTTGAACAGTCCATTGTGCTTCAAGATGTGCTTTTTTCTGGCCAATTTCCTCTTAAAACCCTTGCCACAAAAAGAGCACAAAAATTTTGTAGAAACTTGCTCTGTCACATGACTTTTTAAATGTTGTTTCAATTGATAAATACTACTATGAGGAGAATTACACAGGGTGCAAGAGAACACAATGTTTTCCATGTGTATGAACGCATGACATTTCAATTGTTCTGCCCTTGCACATTTGAAATCGCAAAGGTTACAGCAGAATTGATCTTTATCTTTGTGCAAAATGTTGATGTGTTCTTGAAGAGTAGTCTTATTTTCGAAAGTAAAATCACAAAAGGTACATGGAAATAGATGTCCTTTAAGAAACGGTGGTAATTTCTGTACTTGTTCCTGTCCAGCCATCTTCAACTATGTCCGCTGTCCTTTGACCTTATGAAAACATTCTGTGATGGCCGACCTGCAGAAAGAAAAAAACAATCTCATCAATTAAAGGAAACAAAGTTTGCGGATTAAAATCAGTAATTCAGAATGTTTTTTCAAAAAGAGCTTCAAGTGTGGCACTTTGCTTGATCTTTTAAAGATGAAATTCAAACATACTGAGGATTTCAATGAGAATAGAAATATTACTAATGGATTTCAAGAGTTTCCATTTATAACGACAAACGTATCTATATAATAGGAGAGCTTTTTGACTGTTCTTTATTGAGCCTAGAATTGGAGGAGGAAAACTGCTCTCATTTTACATGGGCCAAATCTTCCACAGGCGGACAGATGAAAGTATCGCTATCTTATTTGATTTTCTTTCGTAAGAAACTCAAAGTCACCCTCTTCGTATTTCTCTGAAACCATTTTCCCAAAGAAGTGGACACCCTTGCCAATAATGTAGAGTTCAATGACTAAACAGTAGCATTCTTTTAGTTCCACAAGAAGGGCGCCACTTTCAGACTAGAATCCAGAAAGCCAGTCTTTTTGGGTTTTGTTCAAATGCCATGTTTCTGACATGATCATCTAGTTCCCCATGAAATATGACACATTATAGCAAACGTTGGGTAAGAAGAACATCCTTGAACATTTTATCAATTAAGTACTTCAAGAGTTTCTTCCCCAAAAGATAATAAAAAATACACAATTGTAAAAGGGTGTCTCTAAAACGCATCAATGTCTTCACACTGTTTTAAATAGTCTTTCAGAGTAGATTTCTTCACATTCTAACATGGGGGGGCTCTCCTTTCCTGCTCGCTAGCAATGTTCTGTCGTCTGCTTTTGTCTCCACTTTCTGCTTCCACCCCCTCACCTACTTTGCCCCTTCCACTGGGCTCCTGACTCTTTCTGTAGTCTTTCTACTGCTACTCCTTGTCTCCTTCTTACTGCTGTCTGTCAGCCACACCCCTGATCTTCTGGTAGAAAAAATCTACATCTAGCCTTCTCGGACAAGGGCGAAAAATCTCGGAGGTCCCGTGTGCAAGTTGCGCACGTTAAAGATCCCTTGGTGGTCTAAAATCGATAAGAGTAGACTTCGGCCACCACCCGGGCAAAATTCAAAATTTCCTACCATCAATTGAAAAATGTTTAGGAGTCCAGCTAGTTCATATATGATCTTATGCAGTAGCGAAAGCTGTAAAACACTTACCAAAAAAAACAACCACCCCCCCCTAACCATTGTAACATTGTAACATGGTATAGCGTCTGCACAACACAAATAACATATATATCAGAGTCATTAACAAGTACATGCATTTAAGTTTCATCTTCTTGTGAATTAAAAGGCTTCCTTTTTTTCATTGCTCTTGTTTCCTTAACATAGTTGTAGTCCAGGAAATACAACAGTAAGACAAGAATACAATTTTAAAATTAAATCTTCACAGTAACTCTGATTCCAACTACTCTTATATTATAAATTAGTTGTCCTACATGGGGGTCGTAGAGGAACATGTTCATGAAACAGAACATCATGGAAGCTAGGCTTAAGTTGAATAAATTCAATAGACACCCTGTTGCAGAACACAGCACTACACCACAAGTTAAAACGACTTAATAAATTATAAACGAAAACTCTTACCGTGGTTGTTGAGTATTTAATTTCAATAAATGTAGTACATTGTATGTTTCCTGCAGTGAGTCGACCAAGGCTCTGTCCCCTTACCCTCTCTCGTCCGATTGTTCCTCGATTGTCCCGCAGAAAGCCGTGACTGGTTGATTATATACACTTTCCTGAACTCCTCTACACAAGAACCCCTCCCTGCACGAGATATCCGTGCCACTCTGCACAGGAACCCGCGCCCCGAGGAAATCTTGTTACTTGTGTACACAACACACCCTAAGGCATATAAACATAGTATTGTGAAAAGATTGGTCCACTACGTGTCAACCTTACAAACTGAGATATACCCTTGTCAAAAACACAATTTATCCTTCACAGCTGGAGCAAGGGTTTGTACAGTGAGGTGGCAAAAACTCAGCATGCTAAACCTCATGCACATCATGTGATCGAGTGACAAAGTATGTATTATTTAGTAGCGGAGATTGACATGTCCACATGAAATGTTGCACTTCGTGTGTAACCTTCCAGACAGACATTGTTGGCCTACACTACTACTACTACTACTTGTTGGGTTGGGTTTGTTTTGCTGTTTTTTTTATGGAAACCATGTAAAAATAGTGTAGAAATTTATTAGTAGCGATTTTGTGGGACTTTCCAGCGATATTCCATCATGATTCATATTGTTATCGTAAGCTGATGCGGTTGGCAAATATCTTCATAAAAAGCTTTGCTGAGCAAAGTGCTCGGCGGAATGAAGGACAGGTGCCGGTGACGAAAAATAGCAGAGCAGTCATCCAGATTACGCAAACAGTAACTTTTTCAGAGGTAAGGGATGGTGTTCAGCTACCTGCTTAATATGTATAAATATAAATCCGCCTAAGATCCCACCGCTTACGATCCCGGTTCGCTTAAGATCCCGTTGTTTTAAGAAAACAGAATTTTTACTAAAAGTCACTTCTAAGATCCCACTCTGCTGATTCACTCTGTGAAGGACTACATTCGGCTAAGACCCCGCTTTTCAGATTATAATTTGCAGGACAAAAACCCGGGCGGGACAGCCGATCAACCAAGAGTGAAAAGTTGAGATCAATAAACTGTCCATCGCGTCAAAGATAGCCACTATCGTATATGTGATCACATACACGTAAAACTCGATGAAGCGATACTATGTTTGCCCCAGACGGGATCATACAGGGATGTAAACTGAACGACACGTTTGTTTTCCCCGAACATCGCACAAATCACACCTGACCTCTCCCCTTAAACTTACATCAACTGCGGGGTCACATTGAAATGAGAACTCTTCCCTGGCCATTGTGGAAGTTGTCTCTACTCCCGAATTTGCGAGACAGACTAAATTTTAATTGGTGTGTTCACAAAGTAATGGTGTGTAAGGACAAACGCAGTTGGGACTCGGTCAGAGATGGAAAGCTATATAAATTTTCGACAGGTAAAGGGGAGGGGCAACTGGATAAGCGTAGATCTTGAGACTCATGATAGGATAATAAGTGAAAATGGCATGCCTCATCCCACTAGGCACTGTGATCATAGGTCATCAAGGTTTAACCACTCTTTGCTCGCCATACGTCATAAACCCAATAAGCGGTCACATCAGTTCACTTTAGAGTGGAGGGAGACCATTTTACCAATTGTGAGCCTTAGCATGGGTCACCATAGATTCTTCCTTGGGTTCGTCGGTTAAGATCCCGGTTCGTCTAAGATCCCGCATTTCCTTGCTCCCGAGCACCGAGATCTTAGGCGGAGACTACTGATACATATATTATTATCTATAATATTAATACATTGTTTGTGTGTGCGTGTGTGTATGTATGTGTGTGTGTCAAATTAATTTTCTTTCATGTTTGTTAAAACATGTAGAATGAGAACAATGTTTCTTGTATCCGTTTCAAGTGAAGAACAAAAGTTATCCCATAGTGTGTCAAGGTCTTTTTTGTGGTAAAATGCAAACATGAAATTCATTTTCATGTCGACGAATTGATACACTCTGTCACTGGTGTGATCTTCCTTTGAGCTGATAAACTCTCACAAAAAAGCAACAACAACAAAAATACATTGAATTTAAGTTAGGTTCCTTGTAGGCCAGTACTAATTTAATGAGTATTTTAATGCGAGGATGCTCCATCACCCGCACCAGCGCACTAGTCTATCGCCGTTTTTCGCATTGACCCTCTGCTAATTTACGTTCCCGACCTCCAATGCCGAGGCCAATCGTGCGAGGTATAGGGCCTGATACTGAGAAGGCCTAGGGTTAAGCGCATTTGAGTATCGCTACTTTTCGCACCATCGTTCACCTGCCTGAGAACAGGGCCGGCCCTGAATGCCGGAGCCACCTGGAATATATTTTATATGCGGCCTGATACACAGAGAAAGCCTAGGCTTAGGCCTATTTGAAAAACAGAAATCTAGATCTAGATATCTAGATCTAGAATCTAGAGGAATACACGGTTTCATCAACAACAAGGGCCAAGTGTCCAACGAAATAATAATATTATTTTAATAATATAATATTATAAAGTAAAGCTTACATTTACCAAGTCGGACTGATTCAGTCAGATCAAGTTGTTACTCAGACTATCCTGCTTTCAACGTAATTATAATGGCAGCCTGGATCTTTCCCAAACTCAAGCCTTGTAGATTTAAATAGCTATTGCTGGTGGTCAGGGGAGCGTTACTAGATTCTATGTGTGTTTTTGTGATATTAAAAAATGAATCAATAGCCCATGGTTGGCCACTGACCAGCAGTTATGCACAACTGGTTAGACTGTAATATAACATCCCTCGAAAATTCATTTTTTATAGCAACGATAGTACGTGTATAAACAAGAGAGCGTCTTGATCTATTCGAACTTATCGTTATTAATTTTGAATTATTTCAGTTACTGCATACGTACCAAAAAATATATCTCGTCGCCAAAGAACATGTTTATGGGTCCTCTTTTATTATAGATGTAGAGATCTAGAATCTAGATCTTATCTTGTCGGAAGGATGAATCTACACGACATCCATTCGTGTTCAAAGGTAGGCCTTCAGTACTAGATTCTGCAGTGTCTACAGTACAGGGTGATCTTGTAGTTCCGTTCGTTAAAGTCCACGATCCATTTGTTTACATCCAGAGAAGAAATCCAGAAGTCTTGAAGACCAAATACTATTTGAATTAGGCTACACAAAGAGCAGGGATGCAACCTAACTGCAAAACATCAAATTAGGATAAAATTCAGGGGGGCATGCCCCCATGAAACCCCCCATTTTAGGTCAGGGGAGCAAGCCCCCCTGAAACCCCCCTGCTTGACTTTAACGAACGAAACTACAAAATCGCCCAGTACAGTACTGTCAATACACCACCGTAACAGTAACACGTCTATATTATAGAGTCTAGATCTAGATCTATATTCAATATAGATCTAGATCTAGATCTAGCTGATACCATACATTATAATATATAAGTTAAAAACTAGACTAGTTTTTAACTTTTATACACATACCCACCCACCTTCGCCAACATGAGTGCAATAATTCAAAACAAAAATTGCATATATATATTCTTTTTGCGAGAGCAGATGATCTCACCCGCACACATTCATCCTCGCACATACTTACCCCCACACACACACACACACACACACACTCACATGTACACACACACACGGTACACCCCCACACACACATACACACACGCGCGCCCGCGTCGGCCTCTCCATTCATAAATTATCAACAAATCTCGAGAATGGAAACCGTTCGGAGAAATAGAGTTCAAGTTTATTTTCCTGAACGTTCGGAGAAATAGAGAGCCGGCCTTTGATTGAAAGGATCAAAATTAAATTAGGATATAACTATTTCCAGAATTTCATCATGATGTAAGAATCTTGAAAGATGTGCTTCAGATTGAGAGGCTACCAAGGCAAATCTGCCGTAAACTGACAACATGCCTTTTTCATTTTGGGCGCCAATTTTTTTTATTTGCTAAATTGGTAGCATGATTGGTTATCCTACTTGTATGAAAAAAAATCAAAGTGATACTGTACCTAGTTTTTTAATAAATTAGAATTGAAATTTCAGAAGTTTTAATGGTTAGGCTACAAAGCTGACAAAAGGCTAAATCTAGATTTCGGGGGTTTCCCAAAATTTTGATCTACACCAAAAGTGGGCATTGCTCTACCTGTAGAAGAAATTTGGTTTCATTGGTGTGTATATATTTGTTTGGTTATACTGAATACTGTCTTTGTCTTTTAAAGAAACTGAACAAGGAGCAAAAACTTTACCTTCGATTTTCTCAAAACGGCATTTTTATGGATAGCCCCCTAGCCTGTGCTCAAAAGCGACCGATTAAATGCATACATTATGTAACTGGCCACCGGATTTCAGATGCCCTAACAACCTTAAAGTTAAAGGCTATTATACAAGGATCTTTGTTTCTAAAGTCAATTAATTTTTGTAGGTCTGGCTGTATGGGATGAATTTCTGACATTCCGGAGGGCTCAACATGACGTAAAATAGATCTTCGGGCATCAAATATGAATGGTGTCTCGCAATTTAAGTTAATTTTTTTCCATTTAATCTGTGACTGTGAGACTAGAGTGGCATTTAATCCAAACGAGTCACCTTGATGTGTTGCATCTTGATTTTTAATGATGTAAAATAATTGTTCAATGGAAAATCCTATTTCGGCATTTTAATTTCTCTTGCTCATTGTTATACCCAATATCTGGCTGCACATATGTTTAATGTGAGAACCTCTCATATTATCATAAAAAATTATTGCTCTAATTATAAGTGAGTGCTTATTATTGTTTTTGAATTTACTGTAATTACAGGTTTTTCCCCTGTGTTTCTCTTGTTTGCTCATAAATCGCCTGAGGCTTACTTACTTACTTTATCCGTCCTCTTGTACCTCTAGGGCTTCGAGGGGAGAAAGACCTTCCTGTCTCTAGCAAGTTTGATGGCCTGGCTGGGTGGGATATTGAAGGTTCTCAGGGTATCCTTCACACCCTGGATCCAGCTCTTTCTTGGTCTTCCTCTTGCTTTGTACCCTGATACATTTCTGTAGTAGCTCTAGACTTTTCTGGCAAGCTGGTTAGGTGTGAGATGTCCAAACCACCTTATTGTTTGCCTTCAGATGTAGTGGAGGACAGGTGTTGTTCCCACCATTTCTCTGATCTTGTTGTTTCTGACCATGTCCCGTCTGGTTTTGTTGAACACTCTCCTTAGACATCTCATCTCGCAGGTGGTTATCTTACGTTCCAGACACTTGAGGCATGATATGGTAAAAATATTCTTTTGTAACAATCACCTCTTTGTGATCTCAGTTTGATGAATGTGGTTAAAATGGCCATTTGAATTTCTTGTTTGTTTTATTCTCAAAATTTTCTCTCAATTCTTCGTGACCAGGCAGCTGCTGAAAATGTTGAATTGAGGAGAAAACTTGCTCTGCTCAAAAGGAAATATGATGAACTTCAGCACCAGATCAAGGCCTTGGTCCAGGAGAAAACATCTGAGAGTGCAAAGTCATGTCAGAGAACCTTCCAGAAGTGAGTTAAACTTGTCTTGTAATTCCTTTTTGTTTCTTTTCAAAATAGGAAATATTTATTATACCAAACAGTTTGTGACGTCTCTAAAGACTGATCCACAAGTCAAAATGGTAACAGGTGAGATTATAATTCAAAGTGAATTAAAAGCTCTGATGTAAATGTGGTTAGAAGAGTCAGGTGACCTTTTTTAGTGTGTGATAAATGTTGTATATGTTTGCTAATTGTGAATCTGAAAAGAAGTTAATGGTTGTTTGTACTTATATATATATATTGAATTCCTCACTCCAAAGTATTTTGCCAACCATGACATTTTGAAAAAGTAGTACCAATCTTTTATTTTTATCCTGTGCTTTTATCAGTTCCTGTGTGCAGACGGACTCCAAACCATGGATGTTCAGACATGGTCAGGGGTTGACTGTTCAGCAAGAAAGAAAAGTTTCAGACTCAGACATTGCCAAAACAAACAAGTGGGTACAATGTCCTGTGAGATTCATATTGGGCCTATATATGTGTCACGACGCAGTGGAATCAGGCTCTCGTCAATTTTTGGGCATGGAGATATTGGTATCATTCGATAGCTATTCATTTGCCTTGCTTTCACTGAAAAAAATACCCAGCTATCTTGAATAGAAGTTGAGATATTTGCGATTGAAGGAGGTCAGGGTCGCCTGGTTTCAGAGGTAAAATTTAGCGAGAAAATGGCGGCCAAAGTTTGGTAATTTCTTTAGCTTGATAGTCCTTGGCAAATGAAAATTTACATAGTTTGTGCCTTTTATGAATGATTTTCAGTAAAATCCACTTAGAAATGTGTTTTAAATGGATGTAAATGGTGTTGAGCCCCCCCTCAAAAATTAGAAAAAAATTGCTCAATAGCCAGAAAAATGCCAATTTCTTCGATTTCATCATTTTGACGAGGGCCTGATTTCACCACCATGCCTCACATATTATATGAACTAGATAAGGTTATCATATTTTACCTGTGGCTAGTTTTTAAACTATCAGATACTGAAATCTTATGTGCGAGTTTTAAGAAGCATAAAAAGAGTTTATGTTTTTTGTGGAGCCTCATTCATTGTTTCTCTTATCATGTGCACAGTTGATTTTCATGTGCACAGTTGATTTGTCCTTGAATAGAAGCTGCATTATTTGTAATTGAAGGAGGTGGGGGTCCCCTGGTGTCAGAGGTAAAATAAACAGGAAAATGACCACCAAAGTTTGGTGACTTTTATAACTTGAGCGTCCTGGAAACTGCAAAGTTATTATTTTTTTGGTGGTTCTTTTTCAGTAAAATCCACGCACAAATGTGTTTTTAAATGGACATTAAAGGTGTTGAGCCAAAAAGAAACAAAAACTGATCAAATAAATTGCTCAATGAGTAGAAATAGTCGATTTCTTTGGTTTCATCAAAGATTGTGTAGTGAGAATCTTTGGTTTCCCCATGATGACACACATGTGTGATGCATCCTGGTGAAATCAACGCTATTCAACATAATGAAACCAAAGATACTGATACCGTCATTTTATCCCTCTGGTTTGGTAATTTTTATTAACTTTTTCTTTATTGGCTTGATACTTTTTATGTCCATTTAAAAACAATTCTGTATGGATTTGTTACTTATATGATTTATTGTTAAAGGCAGAAAAAATGTGAACTTCCCATTTCCGAGGGCTCTTACAGTAATTCGCTGATATTTTACCTCTGAAATCAGGCGACCTCCACCTCTTCAATAGCAAATATCTTGATTTCTTACTCTAGATAGATGAGTATTTTTTTAAATTGAAAGACAGAAAATAAACAAAGTTTAAGCTGTTATCAATAACTCCACATGCCCAAAAATTGATAAGCGATTGATTCCACTGCATCATGACTCATTTTTTTCCCCTTTGTTACTTTTCTTTAGAGGCCTGTGATCGAAGTGAACTATAATGTGCCTGTGTTCATTCATATTTATGGTGTGTTCTTGTTACACTTTTAGAGATTTTTTGGTTAGCACAATGCTTTGTGATTACTCAGAGATTTCGTCTCTCCTTGTGATTTTCCTGATGCACACTGTGATTGTTTTTTTCAGAGTGCTGGAGATGCACGCACAGTTGCTGAAGCGATATGACAAAGAAGTGAAACTGAACATGACATATGCTGATTCAATATCGGAACTTAATGTGAGTTGTTGGGAAACAGAAGTTTAAAATTCGGTCTTTTCATTTGTTACAATTCTTATTAAACAGTTTTTTTTGTCATGAAAGCTTTCCATGGATCATGAAAGCGATGGTGAGGTTTTATCTCTCGACATGACTAACAGTAAAGCTTCGGTGTAGTGTGCTTAGTTCATAGACAGGAAACTTAAGGTCAATGTGATGTACTGATTTAGAGCATGAGTACTCAACATCCTTAGAAAGAGGGACACATTTCTATTTGTAAGACTTTTGAGAGGTTGATAATGGAGTAACACATGGGACTATCAGTTGACAGGAGACATGCAGTTAGTGACTCTATTTAGAGGACATGGGAAAGGTAGTGAAATAAACCTAGCTGACAGGGTTGATCCTTCATAAGACAGGAGAAGAAGTAGGCGAATGGAACGGAAATGGGGATGAGGAGGGCAGTGCCCTGTTATTTTCTGAAGTATGACAGGCAGATTTGAAGAATTTGAGAAGATTTGGTTTAACCCTATCTGTACGTCGTGTTTTACTATCGTATCCATACAACGTGGGGAACTCTGTGCCACCACTTTCAAAGAGGAAATTTACTCGTTAATCCGACCCGTTCGCTTTGCATAGCAATCTGTCAAAATGATTTTTTGAGAAACACTAAAAGTTTCAAAGAGATCTTCATACTAGAAGTATTCTAAAATGTGAAGAATACAACCCTGGGGGTACAAAATGACCCCAGGGCGTACAGATAGGGTTAACATTGCTTTCCCTGGTCATAACAAGAATAGATATTTTCAACCAACTGAAGGTATTCCTGAAAAAAAGAGGTTTATTTAACTTTGGAATGCGTGATATACGAATAGTAGTGGCACATTACATAATAATTATTGTCGGAATTATTATGCCTTGGCTTGTTGTTGCGTTGAATTTAGTGACTTTGTTTGTAGGAGATTGTTGCCCTAGGGTACAAAGTGACTGTCTCTTATTTAGAATCTATGTCCCTGCACTTTTGTTTAGAATTTTTTGAGTGAATTCACTGACTTCTTCGCTACTAATCTTTCAGTGAAAAGATTTTATATCATTAACCTAAAGATAAAGTACAAAGTCCTCCATGTAATTTTTTTGTAATAATAATTATAATGTATTCATAACTTTTTTAACAGATAAGGCTGGCTGAGACGGAAAAGAGTCTGCGAGAAGAGAAAGAGAAATCAACACAGTTAGAGAGGGAGTTATTTGCTGCCAAGCGAAGTCTCGGAGAGAAGCTGAAGGGCAAAGGCAGAGGTGACGTAGAGTTTCACAAGATGATTAATGATAAAGTGAACTGAATGATTGCTGCAACTGTATTGTTGGCAAATTCAGATGATATGGCCAGAGTTTTCAAATCACTGTTTCGAGAGCATGACTTCAGATCTTTTTTTTTGGTTAAGTGTTTTACGGCTCTCGCAACTGCACATGGTCATATGGTAGCATTTCCAGTTTGGTAGGAGTAAATTTTGAATTTTGTCTAGATGGCGGCTGAAGCTTACTTTTATCAATTTTAGGACTACCAAGCGATCTTTCACGTTCATAACTTGCAAACAGGACCTCCCAGATTTTTTTGCCCTTATCAGAGAAGTCTAGGTGTTAGATCTTACCTAACCTTAGATCAGGGCTGTGGCTGAAAGACAACAGTATGAAGGAATCAAGAGTAGCAGTAGAAAGGCTGCAAAAGGCATCAGGAGCCCAGAGGAGGGGGGAAAAAAAAGAGGGGGGGGAGGGGGCAGAAAGTAGAGACACGAAAGAAGTTGACAGAAAATGATTTGAGAGCAGGAGAGGTGAATGGAGAACAATTTTTTAGAGAAGGAAATTTTCTTTCGCTGTCAGATATCAAACCCGGGACCTATTGAATGAGAGGTGAACACCATACATGTACATGTACCTCTAGATCACGAAAGTCCCCACTTCACCTCCGTCTGAAATGAGAGAGTGATGGCACGGTGGCCTATTCTCTGTACTTTTAGTTTAATGTTATTTGTTCACTTATTTGTTCCATAGAGTTATATTTGAGCAACCCTCTTTGCAACAGTAATTGGTCTCTAGAATTGAAGAGTTAGTTTTGCTTTCGCGGTTAGGCATCTTTGTTGTTCAGTTTAGTTTTATCTCAGATTACTTAGCCTCAGCTCGGTCCGATGTTGTGTCCTTGGGAAAGGCACTTTACACGAACTTCCCACTTGGCTCGGTCCTATCGGAGACGGATGTTAAACTAGGAGGTCCCGCCCCTTAAATAACCTAATAATGTTGATAGGGGCGCTAAACCCATACCATTTCACCATTTTTTTTCAGATTACGTAGAATCTAGATCAAAGGAATCATGTAGATCTAGAATTATGTAAGCCCTGTCAATTTTAATAGAAATTCTCAGGGGTTCTTAGATATGTTTTTCAAAGTATATCTATTGTTGTTACTTGTATGAAAAGATCACACGATCTAGAGAGAGAGAGAGACAAGACTGGCTAACCCTTGTACTTGTAACTGTAGATGACATCTCCACAGGCCTCCTCTGCCTCGATACCACTCTTCCCTCTACCCTGCTGTAATCCAGACTGCCCTTGTCTCACACTTACTGACTCACTCTCTCTGTTTTACACAAGACTTGCGCCAAACAATACAATAGGCTAGGTCTAACTTCATGTAATAGACCAACACGCCAAATTGCCCAATAAAAAGCCAAATAGACCACATCTATGGTATATAATTTATGCACTTATATACTGTTGGTACAGAGACAAAAACTGGGCTAAACTGAGTGAGAAAGATGCGGCAGTCTAGCCTGCTGAATGCCAAATGTGGCTAAGTGAGTCGAACTAAGTCTCACTATTGCATCAACTCTAAGTTATGTGTCTCTTAATGAGCAGTAAAACAACAAAACACAAATTTATTGACACATCTTTCATATGAAACTGCCAGTTGTGATGTTTAAAGTCCTGAAGAAGGTGCGTAAAAGTTTCATGTCTCAAAGTTTTGTAATTTTTATTTTTTGGCAATTAATTAGCTCTTAGAACCTGGGGTAAAGGAACTGTACAGAAAGATTCTTCTTCTTTCCTATCCCAGTAGTACATGAGTCTCTTATCTTGTGGGGAGAGGGGGGGGGTGGGTTTTGAACACTGTGCAACAAGCATTATAATAATTATGTGATTCTTCCGAGCTGACACTTAAACTGTGGAATCTTACTGAATTTGTTCCTAGTTGAGGATCCCGTCTTGAGAGATGTTGTGGAGGAAAGAAATAAACTTTTGAAAGAGAACAAGCGACTGAGGGGAGAACTAAAAGGATTTGATCACGTGAGTTATTTGCTGAGTGATGATCTTGCAACATACATTGATTATAATTATAAATGTTTTTGCCCACATATATATATGTATATATATATACATTTTAGATAATTTAGGACGCAGAATGCTTAATCTCTGCCTGCCACAGTTAATGCAAACTGCGTATGACATGATATTCCCACATAAAGATTGAGGCGCTCAATAAGATTTCTTCCTTGTGCGGGCATTGAACTCAGGCCAATTGTAGATCAGGAGTAGAGGCTAATGTTCACACCAGATATGCCTGTTGGTACTCAGTATTTCTTCACAAATCCATTGTTTCTTGAACTGCTGGGGTAGAGGCAGAGGCCAAGTGTTTAGAGGGGAAAGACAAGATAACTGTGAGCTTTGCAAGGTTTCTTTTTTAGGCTCTCCTTTTGTAGCGTATTTGAGTATTTTTAGAAGACTAGATATACAGACTTATTTTGAATAGTTCTTATGCGAGTTATAGTAAGAATGTGCATACTTAATGCTGTAGCGTGTGAGTTCCACTTTGATGATTATGAAATTTTATGTTCTGCATACTTATTGAAATAGCAGGATATTCTAAGCTCTCAAAAATAGATTGTCACTGATTAAAAAAGATGCCAGAAAAAAGGTGCATGCAAAGAAGTGGACTTAATTTGTGTAACTTTTTATCCCCCAGAATTTCTTTGATGAGATTGAGGACCTAAAGTTTGCGCTGCTCCAGTCTGCAAAGTTGAACAGTTCTTATGAAAAGTCTCTGCGGGATCTGTGCTCAAAATTTGGTGTTCCTTGTCCAGTGAAGGAGACAAGGCAGAAGAAAAGATGATGAGGATAAAGAATAACCAATGTTGTTATTTATTGATTTAGAAGCTTTTCAACTTGTCCTGTGGAATTTGATCTTCTGTTTATGAGAAAACATGGCTAGACAATGCAGAGAAGTTACATTGTTCCTATTGATTACGATAAGTAGATCTATGCGTCGCAGCTGTCAAAAGCTACTGAAAAGAATGAAATGTCAAATAGTGTGTGCACTTATCAAGAGCGTCGTTTTTATTGGGGTTTTTTTTTTTTTGCGAATGTGGCTTACATTTGAGTGTTGTATTAAGCTGGTTTTGATTGATGATGAATGGCATTCATTGACCCAATGCAGGACATTTAGATGATGAGATAAATTCTCCACATCAATGGAGAGCATGATCAGTGCACCACAGACACTGGTATTATATGTGGGTCGTTTTTATCTGTCCCCGTCGTTTTATGCAAGAAAAATTCTGAAATTAAGCAAACTGAGCCCAAAAATGTGGAATTATGGGATTATGTTAATTTTAATTAAGAATGACAAAGGAAAATCTGAAATTATGCAAAAAAATGATCAAATTTTGCTAAATTATGCGGGGTGCATAAAGCCACGGGGACAGTTTTATTATTTAAAAGATAATGTACATATTTTTATTGACCCCATGAGCATAATTTTTAGATCACTGAGGAGGCGGGCTTCTGACCCTGCCTGTCAGGGCCAACTTGGGCTGAGAGGGATACAACAAACATCCCAGCAGAAAGACCGAGATACTCAATAAAACTTCTACCCAATTGGGAATCAAACTCGGAGTCTCCTGCGTTTTACTGCAAAGGGTCTGACAGCTACGCCACAGACACTGGTTTGTTGGTTGTGCAAGTGGATAAAGCCTGTCCCAGTGGTTTTATGCACCCCGCTAAATTTAATCATTTTTTGCATAACTTCGGATCATTTTCCTTTATCATTCTTTGTTAAAATTAACAGAATCGCATAATTTCACATTATTGGACTCAGTTTTCATAATTTCAGAATTTTTCTTGCATAAAACGACGGGGACAGATAGGCGACTAAGAAATGGTAAAGGAGGGATTGGGATCAGGGGCAGTCAAAGACAGTTGTTGAGCATTTTGAAAAAGATAATTGGAGGGGGATACTTTTATACGGGGTGCCGAGTAGAGAATCGGGTCAGGTTGGGGCAGTTTCCTAGCCAGATTGAGGGGGCAAAGCGGCTATCGTGGCACAAGCCTATCACGCCCCGAGTCAAACGATCACCCCCAACCCAATCCACACCCAGTATTATACTGAATGGTGGAGGAACAGAGGGGGAAAAAAAAAGAGACTTCTGTTTGTGTTTACATTTCAGTACATACCGAGATGATACACTCTGCCAGGAGTCTGCATGTGTCTTTGTTAGATACGTGTACTGCAAAGACTATTTTTGATTGAAATGTGTCGTGATTTGTAATGAATAATACTTGTGACATTACTATATGACAGCTTGTCCTTATGTTTATAATTATGTTCTTGTAACTCGTCCTTAAAAAAAAGGGGGGGTGGTTGGCGGGTGCTCTGGTGTGGTTAACTTCTTTCCTATGAAACATCTATTGTCCTTATTTCTCCTCCTTTTTTGTGTTTGTTACTCTCTTGTAACACCTCTAATCTTCTGCACTTATATGACCTCATTGTAAACAAAACTGATAGTTGTCGTTCCCCTTTGTGATAAAGGAAATAGTACATGATATATATAAACTTGGTAAAAATATTTTGTGGACGTTAAAGTAAAATTCACCAGAAAAAGTTATTTGCAATTGAACGCGGGTCTCCTGCATGCTACACTGAAGCGCCTAACATCTACAACCAAAGAGGCCAGATTTACACAGCTTAGGCTTCCATTTTTACTATATGATTTTGTAAAAAATTCCACACACTTGATCGTAGTGAAGGAAAGCTTGAGGAAATGTTGGAAAGTTTTGACACCACTGCTTATAAAAAACTTCCACTATCCAGCAAGAACTAATTAGACAGAGGTCTTCAAAATACAAAAATTCTTAAAAGTAGATTGTTCACTTTGTATCAAAAAGTGCCATCCAAAGGGAGAAATAAATGTTTTAGTTTTGTACGAGCATATTAAGCGTTTGGAACTTGCAACACAAAATTTAAAAAGGGGGGGGGGGATGTTCTCGTTGTCTTGAGGTTCGAGCCTCATCATTCAATAGGTTCTTTCTTGGTTGGACAGCGATGGGAAATTCTCTAAAATTCTTTTCTTTTGCTTCCTTTCCTGCTCTCTAACCATGTTCTGCCATCTGCTTTCATATCCACCAGATAAATAGGTTACATAAATACCGAAGATCAGGTGTTGCTAGAGAGTTACATGTACGGAGAAAAGGAGGAGAGATAAGGAGGAGAGATAAGGAGGAGAGATAAGAAGGAGAGATATTTAATAGAAGAGAGGGAAAAACCCAAATGCATCAGTGCATCTGACATATTGATGTAGGGCCTATATTAAAAACGAACTCAAAGAATGTTTCTTTTGTTTCGGAAAGAAGTCTGAATTTTATTACTTTTTTTCATAAACACTTCTAATTATGTTTACAGAATTGTACATTGAATTGAAATGAATCAAAAGCAAAATAAGTATTGTTAAAATTTGTAACAAAACCTTTTAACAAACATAGTTTCAAAGCCCTACGGTTTTGAGCAATTGATCTTTTTAACTTAACCTTCATTAGAAAAGACACAGAGGAGAACCCAAACCAGTCCTCAAAAGAATATTAAATAGTATTTAAAGAACAATAATGAAAAGACTGATAGTGACGGAAAAACTGAAGCCTGTCCTATAATAATATACGCATGTTTGACTCTGGAGGGTAAACACCCTAAAAGAAAAATAGAAAACTTTCGTTGTTCAGTGCCCCTGCAATCCCTGTTGGTACTGGTAAATTATAATGCTCGAGGAAACTCCGGTTTTACCTTCTATCTTTTAATTTAATAGCACCGAGCTAAGGAAAACATTGAAATTGAAGACTCAAAACAACCCAAGCTCAAGTGCATCCCTTCTGGGATTGGAACCAGGGCCAAACGCCCTATAGGCCAGCATGATACCAACTGAGCTATCAGTATCAGTACAAGTAATATTTTTTCAAAAGAGCGTTTGTTAGAGACAGATCAGATCAGAGCTCATGCAAGTATAGAAGGAGCCTTTAGTTTTAGTACCCTCTCACTGATGAGTGTAGCAAGCATGTTTGTAAGACAAGGGTGTTCTAAAAAGAAGGAAACAATTTATTCAGATACAAAGCTCAATTTGACGAGGGGTTTGAGTCAACGTCCTGGATCCAGCAAGGGAAATTGGTCTCCACCGGCTGCGGATTATCTTGAAGATCACGTACGTTAGAGAAGAGAGAAATGAGCCTGTCGTCGTCGGCGCCCATTGGGAGAAGTCGGAGAATGTCCAGCTGAAAGTACAAGACATACAACATAAAACAAAACAAATCTGCGGATGCGAGCTCTGGTCAATTTCTTAAAGTGGGAAAAAAACAACAAGATGCAAAAGAAATTGTTGATTGATTGATTGATTGGGTAGATGTTTTACGGCACTATCAACACAATTTCGACACAATTTCACAGAAATTGTATCTTGGAAAGCATGTATGAGGATTTCATGGAAAGAAAAGAAAGATGAGGCTGCGTCGAGAAGCTGTATGGAAGAAGCTGTATGGAAGTACAATGTAAAGTAAGATAGAACAATTTATACGGAAAGAAATAATTGCAGTTGCAAGGACACCGATGTTATACACGTGGGGGTCTATTTCAGCCGGAGGTGGCCTTGACAGACATGGTTGAAGCATGCCCCTTAAAAAATCTAAACCGAGTCGACGGGTGGGTAATACACCATCTAAACTGTCCCCGTGATTTTATGACAAAAACAAATTATGAAAATATGCAAACTGGGCCCAAAAATGTGAAATTATTCGATTCTGTTAATTTTAACAGAGAATGGTGAAGGAAAATAATCAGAAATTAAGCAAAAAATGATCAAATTTTGCTAAAATTAATTATGCGGGGTGCATAAAAACCACGGGGACACTAAAAAACAACATGGATGTAACCTACCGAAGATGGGTTGACCGCTAAAGGATCGGCCAGGACCATCCACCTGACGGACTCGGAACAGGAGGGTGTGGTCAGAGAACCGGCGTAGGTGTAGAAGTCGAGTCTGTCCGGGAGCAACGCTCGCACGTCCAGCGCCACATTGACACCGCCAGCTGGGGAGAAAAAAAACCCTTAGTAGTAAAGGGCTTTACGGCGCTCGCAACTGCATAAGGTCATATGAGCGCGCGAAACACAAGTTGGTAGCATTCGCAATAGTTCACTGCACGGTTGGTCGACAATTAGACTTTGAAATGCTAAAGTACTAAAATTCAGTGTAAATATATTTGCGATTTAAAACAACTCTTATAAATAACAATAAAAAACCTTGAGCGATTTAGTTTCCAGTAAAGAGAAGTCCACCAATACAATCATAGTCATTAAAATTTGAATAAGTCTGTATTTGTAAAAAGAAGCACATCGGTACAATGGTCATTTAGTGTTGGGAAAAGAAGAACCTACTACATGTAGAACCAAATCTGCTAATGGTTGAGAAGAAACACGAATCCAAAAGATTTGTTTTATTTTGGTCACAGTTTTATTTACCACACTTGCAACACAATTAGGTCATACATGTTCTAAGATCATGTGTTACAAGAGAGAAACGAACACAAAAGACAAAAGAGATAAGGACGACAGCTGTTTGATACGAAACATGGAGGAAAACCACATTAAAGCAAACGTCACCCCCCCCCCCCCCCCCCCCCCCCCCCCAATGACGACAAAAGGCAAACAATGGGGGGGGAAAAATTAAAAAATTTTTTTTTTTCCCCCCCCCCCCCCCCCCCCCCCCACAAACAACAGACAGATTACCTTTCCCGAATCCGGTAAGGGAGATGAAATATTCCAGCAACAGATCCAGTGGACGTTTTGGGGGTTCTATTTGTTCAAGGGATTTCTGCCATAAAACAAATTCGTTTCTTAAATAAACAAATGAAATATAAACAAAATACGAATGAAACAAAATAAAGACAAAAACAACCACAAACAAAACACTCACAAAAACAAAATATGGCTTATAATAAATTAGTGCAATCACCCATCACACTTATAGCAATGGATTAACGCATAATGTTGCGCATTTGGGTAAAAATCGCAATGATTTACCAACAATCGTTTGAGTAAAAAAGAGCTTAACTATATTATTCTTCCCTTAAAGTTTGTGTTATCTTGGAAGTTGAAGAATACAACGAAAAAAACAACCAACAACCCGGAAAACCCTCTAGATATCTATAAAGTGCAAGAGATTGCTAATCTTCTGTTCGGCCTATTTTAACAAGTTCAAGGAATTGACTTTCTTGTCAGCTCAAAGACAGCACAACGGCGTGTTATCACTTCCCCTTCTTGACCAGGCCTCCCACCCACACGAGAGAAGAGAGAATGGGTAACACCCCCAAACACACTTTATCCATGTATAATTGGTCGCTTTTAAGCACAAGGGGGCTATCCCGAAAAATGCTGTTTTAAGAAATTCGAAAGTAAATGTTTTTACCCCTTGTTCCATTTCTTTAAAAGACAAAGTTTTCTCTATAACCAAACGAATATACCCACTAGGGAAAGCAAACTTCTATAGATAATCAAGATTTCTGGAAACCCCCGAAACCTGGGTTAGCCCGCTAAAAGCGACCAATTATTATATTTATAACTGCTATAGCCGTACCACCAGGAAGGCCCCGATGACCGCAAGCCCGTCTTCTTTCAGCACAGCGTTGGCCATAGACCCGTACTTCTCTTTGTAGTGCACTAAATGCATCTGAAAAGTACAAAACAACACAGGGTGTTACGTCACATTTCTGGAACATGATATGTATAGTATAAGGTTTTACGGCGCTCGCAACTGCTAAGGTCATATGAGCGCGCGAAACACAAGTTGTTCACCTCTGCGAAAGTTCACCTCACGACTGGCTAACTAATTTACTTTATAATGCTAAAAAGTTAAAATATTCAAATTCGGTGTAAATACATTTGTGATCTAAACCAACTTTTAAGTAACAATAAAAATTTTAAATAATATATCAAATTCACTCTACAACTCGCCATAAAGGCCAATGGTCTTTATAAAATTTAAAATTCTGCTGGGAACAACGACGGAAAAAATATCCTGCAATTTCTTGCATTTATAATATTTCCTTCGGATCTCTCCAAAGTCTAGACATTCTGTTAAAATGTGTCTAATGGTAAAATCTGTGTCGCATCCGACACAGAACGGCTTCTCATCTCCCTGTAGGAGGTATTTGTGGGTCAGGGCCGTGTGTCCGCTGGAACATGATAGACAAGAACCCAAAATAGAATATACTTGTATGACCTATAGCATAAGAACAGTTCCAGTTTTCGTTCACAAGTAATAGAAAAATGGTCTCTTGGAATCTTTATGTTTCTCCATCAAAGGAAGGAGTTTTGATTCTGCTATTTCTACACACTGCTGTTACTTGAATTAATTGCAAAACCATCAGTTTACGATGAAAAAAGACTAAAGTAGGCACACAAACATTGTGGGAATTCTATGCTTAAGTCTCCGAGGACACGCATTCTGGTCATTTGAAAACGCCCTGTTTTGGGGCAATTTGCGAATTCCAGATTAAAGATCACAGATACAGGGTGCATTAAAGTAGCACCAAATTGGAAAAAAGATTGTAAATTCACAGACAGGAGAAAGAGGCTAAAACCTAAAACAGCAACTAGACATGGATAACTGGTGCCTCTATAACTAAATTATTGATTGGCAGGTCGGGGCATTTTAAGAAAAGCAGAACGTTATTCATACATATATGCTTCAATTTTGTTTTCTTTATCTGATAGTTAAAAAGGCTGGTAACAACAGGCAGGAAACACGATTTGCACATTTTTGTTCCTGATATATGTGTATGCTTGCTCTAACTGTACCACAAGATTGCCTTTAGTCTGCTGCTGATCGGACACACACCAACAGCGTCGTCAAACGCCCCTTTTCTGTGGCGTCGGTGGCCTAGTGGTTAGGCTACTGGACTCGTAACCACGAGGTTGTTGCGGGTTCGGGGGTTCGAGCAGCGGGCCCGACGTTGTGTCCTTGGGAAAGAGACTTTACACGAATTTTACAGGTGGGAATGGGTACCCAGCTATAGACTGAAAGATCTTGTCAGTTTGTTAGTGTTTGAGCGCTTAACCAGCTGCTTACACTGCATGCTTCCCGGGAAACTGAGAATGTTTCTATGTGTTCTATGGTCTGCTGGGGTAGAAACATACTGTAAAAGCGCATAGAGCCTGCTTTTGAGTGGGGACATGCGCTATACAAATGCTATTTATTATTTTATTTATTTCAGACCATGTAATTACATGTATATTCAAAGGCGGGACCTTGAATTAACTTTCATATCCCTGAGGGTTGAGCCAAGAAGGCGGAGCGACCAATACAGACCTCGCCATCGAATTTGCTTCCGTTGAGCGAGTGTTCGGAGCCGCCTATGCTGCCATTGCTGAAGTGGAAGTGGATTCCCACCAAGACATACTTGTCATCCGGGGCATAGGGCACGCCAGTTAGGAAGGCTGGGTAGGCAGTCGTGATGTCGATGTTGGGAGCATGGCCTGAGTGTGAGAAAAATAAGCACATTATATAGGATAATGGTCATCTTGTGATTGAATTAAAAAACAGACAGAACAGGCTAAACAAGAAGGTACGAACAAAAAACACTTAGAGGTGCCCTCCAACCTCCCGAGGAGCACGGCCAATGAGTCATTAGTAGAAAATGTAGGTTAAACACTGTACTTATAATTGATCCAGTTTTCCCCAACCGGAATCAATAAAAGTGTAATGTTCACATACATTCACTTATTCATTTATTTCTTTAAAATAAACTAATGAAAGAATGGATGAATTTATCCTTATATTCTTTTATACGGGACGAGTTACTGGCCTTGTGTACCCGTCACATGGGCAAAGAAAAAAAAATTAATAACAAACAAAAATGGAGATGTGGCGTAAAAGGATTACACTAAGTATTTGTTTCCTTCAATATAATACAGGAAGCCTTCCTAAACACCCCCCCCCCCCCCGCAAAAAACAACAACAACAAACTAACAAAAAAAAACAACCCAAAACAACCCCAACCAACCAAACAACCAAAAAACATCTCCGCCACGTCCTCCACATTCTCCCTTTCCTCCTCCTCTCCTACTGCCTCCTCCTCTCCTACTGCCTCCTCCTCTCCTACTGCCTCCTCCTCTCCTACTGCCTCCTCTCTCCTACTGCCTCCTCTCTCCTACTGCCTCCTCTCTCCTACTGCCTCCTCAATAAGACGATAAAGGATACGGCATTTTGAAAGATGATTGTTCCGTACCGTTGTTATAGAGTAATCCTTGCTGACTGGCAGAATGGTGGTACTGAATACTAAACGGCCTGCTACAGTACTGTGTGGGGATGGCACTGAGGTCAAGGTCACGAGGAGACTGGCGGACAGGGGAGCTGCAGCACGAGGAGATCGCTGCCCAGTTGGACGAGACTGGTGGAGAGAAAAAAAGTTTAGTTTTAGTAGAGGTTTTACGGCGCTCGCAACTGCATAATAAGGTCACATGAGCGCCAGAAGATTAGAGGTGTTACAAGAGAGTAAGAAATAAACAAGAAGAAGGGGAGATAAGGACGATAGATGTTTGATAGGAAAGAAGAAGCAAACTACACCAGAGCACCCGCCAACCACTCACAAAAAAGATGTCACGATGTCGTACATGAACATGGGTATCTGCAAAACAAGTACAAACTTAAGTACAAGACATTCTGTATAAAAGATGGACAGATTCTGCTGGTATACACATTTTAAAAACGTTTCTGCTTCGGGGCTTGAGCCTAATTTCTCAGGGGATTTGGGCCATTGGATACGATAACGATTTGACTTTCAGGTTTGGTTTTTGAGATGTATAATTTTCACGATTTACAACTTATTAACATGGAGTCAGAAAATGGCACTAATTCCATACTTATTTGCTCATTTCTCGGCTTGCCTCTTGTATTCAAGTTCTAGTGCATCTCTGGTAAATGACCAACAGTAATAATGATGATGATAATAATACTAATAATAATAATACTAATACTAATACTAATACTAATACTAATACTAATAATAATAATAATAATAATAATAAATAGTAATAATAATAATAACAAATAATAAATATTAAATAATAATAATAATAATAATGAATAATACTACTGATAATAACAATACTGATAATAACAATACTGATAATAACAATACTGATAATAATAATACTGATAATAATAATACTGATAATAATAATATTAATAATATTAATAATAATAATAATAATAATAATAATAAGACATGTGTATGTATGTTTGCCATTGTAAACCAAAATGACCTTCTGGGACAAATAAAAGTGTAATTTATTGGGTTTATTATTATTATTATTATTATTATTATTATTATTATTATTATTATTATTATTATTATTATTATCATTATTATCATTATTATTATTATTGCTTCAAAAAAATCTTTAAAAGTCAGGATGGCAAGCAAAGTAAGCACACGCGTCAGCCAAGCTTACCCTACACCAAAAGACGATAGAAATCTCGAATCAGTAAAATAATTACTTTTACCCTACGACGAACTAAGCTTTGGGAACACCCAAATGAACACTGAATCTAACAAATCCGCGTAAGTAGTAGCAGAAATTATATTTCTGAAGCAAGTCACTTTATTTTTGTGCCATAAACCAGAAAGTTTAATGGATTTGGCTGCTTTTGTCAAAGTAAAGTTCAACTCGCTAGAGACGGCAAAAATGTTAACGGGAACACAAATTGAAATAATAAAATAATAAATTAACTCGAATCAATGAAAATTCTATTTCTTCAAGGTGTGGCCGAGCGACCGTAGTTTGGTGAAAAGTTTTCTTTCACAAGAAGAGAAGTACACTACATTAGTTCGTTATAGAGATGGAGGTTGGGAGAATGTTCGACTCCACGTTCAAAAATTGAGAATAAAACATTAGGGTGCAGTATCTGGATGATACTTTTATAAAGGATCCATTTTTAGTGGTTACTTTTAAACTTTTGGTGTCCATTAAAAAACCCACTTCTATGCGGATTTTTTAAATACTGAAAAACGTTTATCAAATTCAAAGGCACACGAAATGTACATTTGCTGCTTCCAAAGACATCTAAGCTTTGAAAGTCACCAGATTGTGGCAGCCATTTTCTTGTCCTTCCTCTAACGCCAGTCGACCACTACCTCCTTAAATGGCAAATATCTCAATTTCAATTAACTTTATCTTTTTTTTTCATCAGAGAAAGGCAAAATAAACCAGATAAGCCAAATTAGATGATATACTAATAACTCCGTATACCCCAAAACTGACGAGGTTAAGATTCCACCGTGTTGTGATACAAATGATAGACACATTTTGGAGTATGAATGACACGTTTCAACAGAGATGTCACCTGGCCAGCCCAGGGTCTTTCAAAAATCGCAAAAAAACCTAACCCAAACCAACATTGAAGTAGCATTTCATGACCATGTTTTAAAGTTTTTACAAAATTTGCAACGTTGCCGTTTTCAAATGTTTAGCAGAACTACAAATCGTGAGCTTGCAATGTAAACTTAATGGCATCGACAGTCCAGTGGTTACACTGGACAAATCAGGCGATTGCAGGTTTGGGGTCTCGTGGCTAAGCTTGGTTCGGTGTTATGTCTTTGGGAAAGTTACTTAACACGAACTTTCCGATTTGGCTATGTCCTATCGGGGACGGACTTTAAATTCAGAGATCCCGCCTCTTAAACAACCTAACATTGTTGCAAGAAGATTAAAACTTTTACAATTTCATTTTATCTCAGAGTTAGAACTGTTAGTCAGGTCCAAAGGTATGGTGTCGTGTCTATGGAATGAGCCTGTCAGAGAACTGATCTGTTACAGTATTGGAAAATTACGGGGTAAGTAATTAGGTGTATTGAAGAGGCAGGACCTGTCTCAGATTCGAGCGTCAAGCATGATACCAACAGAACTGACGGAGGGCCCCAAAGGATTGAAAATTAAGACACTTTAAGAGACAGGCTGCTGCGACCCTGCCTTACTTGGCAAACGAGAGCAGAATTCAAGCCCAAAGACGGTAGTGTTAAATAAAACTTTCCCACTCAGCTCAGGAATCGAACCCAATTAAGTCTTCTACATTGGCTGATCTTTTTCGTTTCCCAAGCAGGAAAACAAATATACCCGAAAAACAGTCGTGGCAAATTATTCGTCACTTCCTTCGGAGCTCCCAACCGACCACATTATCGCAGGCAAGCTGTTCAACTATTAATCATAAGCGATGAAAGCAAAAATTTCAGGAAAGGGAGAGAAAAAAACTTTAAAAAACCCCTATAACATTGTACTTTCATTACGTTATCTTGTCTTGTTTTATTTCAACATTTAGAGATTTTGGCAAAATATTTCTGGAGCACATGCAACTGATACCACAAATTGAGAAAATGTAAATTTGTTTTGTTCAAAATCTCGGGCTTCGTACATGTGAACAGCTCATATGAACAGCTCATTATCATACTATAAGAGCCAGATCCGCGTATCACGATTTTGGCGCGAAATTGGTTTGGTTTTTTTCATAACTGTTTCACTTGTCATAGCTGTTTGCTTCCAAATTAGCTCATCTTGAGATGAGCGGAATGGATTTCAATATTGCTACAACTTGGATGACGCCACAAGAATTGCTACGGAACCGACAGTAAAGCCAAGAATGCCTAAATCGCGTATCATATGATGCGCTTTTAGGCTTTGATCGTTTCCGGTGCGTTGATCATTCATTCATATCTGCATTAATTCAGTTTTTTGCTCCTCCTGAAAAATTCGCTAAAACCCCTGATACGTGGAACTGGCTGTTATAGGCCGTAATGCTTTTTCAGATGGCGGGCCTCACGCTATGAGGGCTCGCGAGAGACAGGTCAGCATGCATGAGATTAGGACAAACGACAAAGGTGAGGCAGTGTGGTGAAATTAGGCGCTCGTCAAAATGCAGAAATCTGAGAAACAGGCGTCTTTCCGCCAATTTGGACATTTTTATCCAATTTTTAATATTTTTTTTCACTTTTCGCTCACCCTCTTTTATATCCGTACAAAAACACATTTCCATGTGATTTTAATGAAACACACTGATTAAAGGCACAAAATATATCATTTTTCAGTTTTCAAATACTCTTTAGCCATTGGATTTAACCAACTTTGGAGGTCATAAAATATTCTCGGCAATCTCACCACTGAAACCAAGCGACCTCACTTCGTTCTATCGCAAATATCTTGAGTTCTGTTCAAGATAGATGAATATTTATTTAATTGAATGCAAGACAAACAAATCAGTTTTCAGAAGATACTAATGAGCCCACATGGCCAAAAATTGATGATCGCCTGAATCCACCGCGTCGTGACACGATGCTACTCTACACCTACCCCGGGAAGACTGCTATTCATGAGTAACACCCAGACAGGGAGGAAACCCATGAACATGTTGGCGACACTACAGACTAAATCCAGACTACACTACCATCGAAATCCAGAAGCACGCTTCATTAATCATTTTTAAATTATTATTTTTTTTATAATTTTTTTTTTTTTTTTTTTTTGGGGGGGGGGGGGGTTGTAAAGTTTTCTACAGGCGCAAATAGATAGAAAGGCCAGATTGTTGATTTAACTTACCTGTACTTCCTCGTGGGTCGTAATCGAAGTGATCTTTGGTCAAAGGGCACAGTTGAGGGGAATCCGTCGCTAGAGGATTTGAACCAAGACCCAGAAGAGTCCACACCAGCAGTAACACAGGCAGCATAGCGCTGGGACAATACTGAACAAAAGTCACGTAGAGGAATACATGCTCAAATGATATACTTCTAAAGGAACAGTACTATAAATAATGTCATACTTCGCCGAACTGACAAATTCCTATGAAGTGTACTTTTATCTTACAGTTATTATGCCCTGAATTACTAGAGTCTCGTTCTAATCAAATTGTTGAGTGTAGGAAAAAAGTAACCAACACAACAAACTTACTGAGCAAGATTAACTATTTTTTAAAAAGTTGCCGTCGTCAAGATGTTGCAATTGTACTCTTCCGAATACTGTAGGAGGCAACAGACCATGTGTTTTGGAAACCAAGTAATTTGTCTCGGATTATAGACACCTCCACCTCAATTAATCCCTGTGGAAATTTGTTTAGGTGGCGAGTTAAAAAAATAGATCGATAGGAACACCCACATGACAAGTCAAAAAAAAAAAAGGGGGTCAAGCAAGAACTGGAAAGAGAAAGGTATTTATTGTTGAAATTCAACCCAAGCAGGCTTGTGCGTATCTTTCATATTACGAAGAATAGTGAGCATAGATATTAAAGTTGTAAACACTTCTTACAACTACATAACTCTTTAAAAGAAAATCATATTTCAGATTGCATTCATTAAGAAAACGGAGACAAAAAACCCCACAACAAAACCGTTGCTAATGCAGATGCTATTTGTGTTGTATATTGCATTGTTAACTACATTAAGTTCCTTTCGGCTATCAAAAGTAGATTGTGCGGATACTGGATGCGATAATATGTGTACGACTGCATTTGAATGATTTGGATATTATCTTCCTCTGTATTTATGGGCACCTGAGGCCTGGCTTCAGAAAAAAGGTCACCCGTTGTCTTTCGCGTCTCCACAAGCTGGTTCGATTTTCATTTTTTTTTTAAACCCACTTCCTTATTATTGCCGTATTTAACGTTGGTCTCAAAAACGCCCCCCCCCCCCCCCACAAAACAACAACAACAACAACAAACAAAGAAAATAACAAAACCGGCACAGTTTAAATAATTTGGGAGGCTGGTTCTGACACTACCCACCATGCAAGACCAACCCGAGCTGAGAAGGATACGACATCCCAGCAGGAAGACCGAGATATCGGATCAAAATTACAGGCGGATAGTTAGAGAACGTTAGGAGTACGCCATTGGCCGATACGTATTGTAACAGCCATCTTGTTTGACCTATTCTTTAACATACATACATAATATAATGAGCATTATCCTAACACTTTGCTAAAATGGAAAAAAAATCTTTTTTACTCCACATTTTTGTTTTCAGATCAGACAGTGAGACAGTAGAATCTTGGTCCGGAACTTCTTAATTATGTTTTGTCAGAAGGAAGAACACTATTTTATGAACGTTCTTTAACTATCCGCTTGTCTCAAAATTCTCCCCAGCCGGGAATGGAATTCGGGTCTCCTGCGTACTACAACGGCTAACCACCACACCACAGACACTGGCATTCTTTTTGCTGAATAACAAGAGCTAGTTACTTCTAATTCTTAGTCATGTTTTAAGAGTTTTGTCGGGAGGAATTCCGTAACGAGCGAACACCATGAAACAGTTCAATAAAGGGTTTACGTTTCATGGTTTGGGGGAGGGGGAGAGGAAGGGTTAAGGGTAGGGGGAGAGTTTGGGTAGGGATTTGGGGTAGGGGTAGGGGTAAGGGTAGGGGTAAGGTCTATTCTTTATTGTGTTTGTTCGGGTGGTCGCTCGTTAAGGAAGTTCTTCCGTTTTGTCTTTTTTTTTTTAATCAAGCGGTATGTTCTCTTTCCCAAAAAACATCCCATACTTTTGTTTTCTTTTCAGCCATAATGATTATTTTATTTTAAAACAAGCCACAGCTTGCAGAGGGCGTAGGTGCGCCGTAAGTGAGTCATTGGAACTGTTCCAACTAGAGCCGCTGTTTCACCCTGTATATCCTAATAATATAAAAATTTGGTGACCCATTGAAGAAATCATCCAAATAAAATTGGTTTTGTATAAGAAGCAACTGAGCGCAAATTTTACTATAAAAAGTTAACAAGTCAAGCCAGAGATAGCAGTATTAAAGTGACCCTCCTTATCATACAGAGCTCATGGTTACGACCTCCGCGGAATCTCTTGATATTTCAAAAACTGTTTCCTTAACCTGATAAGGTTTGATTATTTTAACGGCCCTTTCAGCTCTCTGAGGCTACTTCAGAGGCTAACCCCCTCCCCCTCTTTTAAACGCTCAGAGTAACATTCGAGAGCCGCCAAGTAAACTATTGTAAATGAGGTTTTTCAAATTTTACAGGAGAGACAAAACGGATTTTCTTGAAGCCACCCAAAACGCTTCAAGAAATTCCGTTGTTTTTTGGTTTTTTGTGTGTGTTTTTTGGTCTCTCCTGTGTAATTTGAAAAACATGACTTACAATAAAAATAGTTTACTTGGTGGCCCTCGATTATTTCGGGAAGTACAAAGACAAGTGGACTTGAAAACTTGAAAAGCCTAGAAAACTTGTCAATCTGCACTGTGGTTCAGTATAATACCCATTGACTTTGGCCTTTAGGAAGGTGGCTTGTAGGGAAACGTGAAAAATGTTTTCCCAACATAGGAATTTATTCGTCTCTTTTGCAACCAAAGTGAAGAGCCAAACCTTTACACACTACAGACCGCAATACTTTGTGTCCAGCTGAGTGCTAGATTCAGCAGAAACTAAGTTAGAAATTTCCTCGTCCAAACAGACTAGAAAGTTAAGCTACTATTGTCGTTCTTACCTTACTTGGAGACAAGAAGAGGGCAGGTCTCAAGAAGAGGAGAACTGAAGACGATCAACGCCTGCAATGACTGTGGTGACGAAAAGGCTTCAAAAATGACTCGCACAAAGTCTGGAGCTTTCCTTTTTATCTTGTTCAACTAGAGAGCAAGGTTGAGCAGTCATCATCGTAGTTTCTATTCATTAGGCTTTCGACATTATATCCGTTTACCCGCACTGTAAGGTCCACAAGACGTGTGTGACAGAATATCAAGGTAAAGGTGTCGTCTTCTAGAATCTGTCTCTCTCTTCTTTTTTTACTCTCAATCTCATCACCGCTCTCTCTCTCTCTCTCTCTCTCTCTCTCTCTCTCTCTCTCTCCCTCTCTCTCTTTCTCTCTCTCACTCTCCCTCTCTGTCTCCCCTCCCCCTCTCTCTCTCTCCCTATCTCTCTCTTTAATCCCTCTATCTTTCTCTCTCACTCTCTTTCTCTCTTTTTTTTTTCTTTGTTTCTTTGTTTCGCTTTTTCTCTCCCATTATCTCTATCAATCTCATTGTCTCTTTCACGTACAGGCAAGCTCGCACACACACACACACACACACACACACATACACACACACACACACACACACACACACACACATACACAAACAAACAAACACGCTCGCGCGCACACGCACGCACACACTTACACACACATACTTACTAACATGCACAATACACACATACACATACAAGCACACACATACATACACACACACATACACAATAAACATATACACACACAAACACACATATCTACGCACACAAACAAACATCCACACACACACACACACACACACACAC